ATGTAATTAAAATTGGGTCTTCTTTCTGTCCAACCGCTGGAATAGAAGCTGCAGTCATTAACATGTTTGACTGCATGTTGGTTAATGATACAAAGAGCTCTGTGTGTTCTCATCATTAACTTCCATTAACTGTTTTCCTGCCTCATTGAATCCTGCATTAATTGTGCAACAGTTATAAGATGAAAGCACCCTGCTCTGGAGTCAGTGTAAGTTCGCCTGACCATTATGTATCATCTCTATTATGTGGCTGTAAGCTATAATTAATTAAAAAATATAATATGTCAAGTATAATGGCATACTAAGGTTAGTACTCAAAAAATCACAGTGGTCAATATTCAACAATATTTTTGAAAGAAAGCTTAATAATAATGCAGCACAGTTACAGTAAGTGTTGATCTTTTATTAGTTAACCATTTTCTCAGTGAATTAGAAATCAATTACTACATTTAATTCAAATAATCCACATTATTCTGATTTCAAGGCAGCTGACAAAATTAGGTTAAGTAAGTGTTTGCAAGCTGTGTCTGAGAATGAATTTATTAGATTAAAATGGGAACATCTTCTGTTTTCTGATGATATGATGGACTGTAACACACTATCTATAAAACACCCAAATCGGTCTCATAGTCAACGATTTTCTGGTAAAAGATTCAGAAGCAAAATCTAATTTGGTTTAATAACAGTGATGAAAACTGGAGATGTACTACCAACTTAAATCAAGGCCAAACACAGATGATACAATTTTTAAAGAACTGAAAAATAAAGTTATCTCTGAGCGCAAATAAGCTAAATTCCACTTATCTCATTCTCCAAATATGATGATTGAGGCAAAGGGGAATTGTAAGCTATTCTGGAAAAATATCAAACATCTCACTACAGAGTTGGGGGAATTTACAGGGAATCCACATCATAGGGCAAAGGGGAGAATAACTGAGGACAGCTTCAGTTTCTTTCTGAAGTCTGTACAGAAAGATATGACAAGACAAGGCATAACTTCTAACTCAGGAAGAACATGTGAATAATTCTTCTTGAGAGGCTCAACACTTGACGTTGCATTTTAGTTCCTCCCATAGACACATTTTCTATGACAGTATTTTTTGCTCCTGTTATGAAAGGCGGGGAGACCATTATTTCAAAGCATAATTTCTTATTGTGTCAGTAGAACTGTCATTGATCAACTGAAAAGCACCTTAATACTAGTAATTTACCTTTGTATTTTATGCAAATTGGCTTCAGAACAGCCACTCGTTATTTTGTGTCACAATCAAAAATCTAAGTTAATTGAATTCACGGTGTTTGAGATGTAGATCCAAGATTTGTGTAAACCATTAGGCAATAATTTCAAGCAGCATGGTGTACACAATGTGTCACAGGCATCAGTACTGAGGGATTTAATTTTATTCGGCACATAAATGATCTCCCACAAAGCTGTCGTGGAGTGGAATATCAATGTATGCTGATGACATCATGTATACCTGCTAAAACAGCAACATAATTAGAAAATATTTCTCTAAAAACACATAATACTTATTTTTTGGGGGGAAAAGACTGACAATCATACAGACAAAAATATGTAGTTCAGTCTACAAACATGTAACTAAGATGTTCCATCATTGTTTCCCTTTCGTCTTACGGTGAAATAACTTGGGTCCACTCTGTTGAAACTACCAGTAAAGGCATTATGTATAATCAACAAAGGTTTTTCCTCACAACTAGAATTTAAAGCACAAAACTGGAACCTGTTATAGCCTCCAAAATGGATCAATATGGCCTTTCATCAGACAACAAGTTAGTAGTGTTTTACAGTGCTTTAAAAGACCAGTGTGTAGGATTTAGTGGCATCTAGGAGTGAAGTTGCAGATTGCAACCAACTGAATAGGCTACAGCTCAAACCTCTGAGCATGAGCTGCAAAACTTGTGGAAAATCATGAAAGGTTAAGTTTGTACGTTCTGGGCAAATGTAGAAACATGGCAGTTTAACATGGTGGCCTTCATAGAAGAGGAAACATTTCCTCCGTAGATAAAAACATTCTAAGGTAACAAAAACACAAGAACTCTTATTTTCAGGTGATTATACACTAATTAAAACGAACCTATGAATATTATATTCCATTTCTGCCAAGAGACCCTCCTAAATGTTACACAGTGGACCTTTAAGATTTGTTCAGCTCAGCAGGGTTCATAAAAAATGGACTTCCAATAAATTAATTCATACTTTGTTGAAAAACACAGAAAATGCTAGTAATTGTGTGTATGTAATATATCATTTGGATAATAAATTAGCACTGCATCAGCACTGCGTTAAACACCAGAGATAATATTTCCTGAGCTTGATCATTTCAGATGTAATAGATAATGAAACCCTGCCTCGACTACTGCTGGTTGTGTATATGTTTTAGTGTTATAGGAATTAGAATTTCACCTCAGATGTTGGTTTAATGTACTATATCCTGGTTATTATATCCTATCAGGGTAAATGAAGTCTGGTATAATACAGCAAAGGGCAAAATTTATTTTTGACACATCTTTAAAATATGCTCAGTCACTATGACAATTAAAATGTTGGTCTCATATCTTTGCAACACAAATTACTTTTTCAGTTACTTTTTTTAAATGTACTCTTGGTCTATATTGTATTTTTTAAGAGTCTGTAATTTGAATTGTGGACAGAAAAGTAACTGCACCAGCAATAAATCAACCTTTAAACCATCAAGTACCAACTGAGGAGCTTCTCGATAGAAATGAATCTCTTTACAAGTAATTTCTCCCAACTAATTTCCCCTTAGAGTTCAATAAAAAAATTAATAAGGAGGAACAGCTGATAAAAGGATCCATGTATGAAGCTTCCTTCCAGGAATGTTATGGTTAGCGGCTGATTTTGTATCTCAGACTCTTTTTGATTTGCAGTAATTGAGTTAAGCATTTATTCCAAATTGCAGCAATAATTAAAGGCAGGAGTTAGAGTTTTGTTCCAATACGCTTATGGAAATATAAGATGTTTAATTGACTGGAGAAAAAAAAGGGTTTGAGATTATATATATCATCCCTTCATTAATGCAACACTCATGTCCAAAAGGCTCAGGATTTTCTACATTATATTAAATAGACAATATAGTTTTGTGAAACCTAATTGAATTAAACTATGTTTATTATGTATTATTCAACAGCAAAAGCCAAGAGGACCCTCTTGTGTCCCTCTGCAATTGTTTGTTGCTCTGGGTGGACAATCTGGTCTTGGTGGATGCCTTTATTCAATGTCTGGCCAGGGCAAAGTATGGTTGTACACATAACTCTTTAGCACCATAACTGCAAAAAAGAAAAAAGAAAACAGCACTAGACATCTTCTCTGACCTTCACGGGCAAATGTTGTTCATTGGTCTCCTCCACTGTCCACACGAGATGTCTGAAACTGAATAACAGGCCTGGCGTTGGCCACCAGAGATACGTAACAGCATTATTGAGCACATGCACCAATTTCTCTGTCTGGCACCTACATATTGATGGCCGTTGTATCAAAACAATGGCCTTCCTCTGAGTGTAATAGCACTGGCTCGACCTCTTATTTGTCTGACAGGATCCTATTCCTGGAACACTGGGCACTGTCCAGGGTTATTGTGTGTACGCTAAAAGGAACACAAGTCCCTTTCAGTCACTATGAGGTCGCATAGCAACTCATTTTATTACATGAAGTAAATGTGTATGTATACGCGTGCCTGTGTGTGTGCATTTGTCTGTGTGTGTAGTGAATGGAGGACCTCCATGATTGCTCAATTGCAAGAGACATTTATGGCAAGGTAAAACCTTGTGTAAACGTCATTTGCACCAGTCATTAGGAAGGTGTGCCGGGCTGCAGTTCAGCGGGAGTTCTGCCAAGCTAACGATTGATCATGGTAAGGTTAGAAGGCGGAGTAGATGGGTTGTCAGAATCCTAAAGATATTCAGGTCCTCATTACTGGGGGTCAGAGCGTCCATGCCCCACACGTTCAACCGAGTCGCTTGAGTGCTCATGCACTAACAGCCAAGCTGCACTGTAAGCAGAGCCCTCTCGCTGTCCCCATTATACTGTTTCACTTATGAATTCTGTAGTTCCTGAAGTCAGTTGGTTGTAATATAATTTGTAAATTTTAAGTATTTTTAAAAACCAAATCAAAAATCCAATATGGAAATGGCAGTTTAACTGAAGGCACTGTTTAGTTTAAGGTCTTTCTTAATATCTTTCTTGGTGTTCAAATGTGAACAAGTTGCAAAACCAGTAAAGTTTTCCTTGTAAGACAGCTTGTTAACATGCCTGTGTCACTGGAAAGTGGGAAATATTTCCAGCAACCCACTCCCAAGGCTGTCTTAAAAACAATTTCAAGTACTGGTGAAAGAGCCAGAAAGTTGGCCTGCACTTATAAATTATAAATTGCAGTCTTGTCCTGAGTCTTCACAAGGTGAGAGCAAGGATGAAGATGAGGAGTGTGCCATGGATGCATTTTATTTGCTCTGGAAAATGGGGATAATAGGGCAGTATTTATACATTTTTCTATTCTCAGTGATGATTCATGACTCCGCTTATTGCAGAGGCTCCCAGAGTGGAGCCTGGGGACCACCTGGATTATCTGGAGGGGCTCCCCAGGAAAATGAGGAATAGTTTAATTCCACTGCTCTAATGAGAGAGTGCATTAAGAAGCCTGTATTTACACTGGGGTTATCTCTCATTCGTCCTGTCATATCTCCTAAATCATAATTTACTTCCAAAGCCTCAGTGGGCTTTGAGTTGTGCAAAAAATCATTGAAAACATTGCAGGTGCTTAGTGACACAGGCTTGAAATCTGTCTCTCCCCCCCCCTCGTTGTCTGGTGCATGTTCTCAGAGGCTGCAGGACCTGAGGGGGCAGCAATGAATGGACACAGCAGCGAGTGTAGCCGAGTGAATCCGAAAGAATCCTGCTGACCGACCTGTATGTGTTTCCTCCACAGAGGCAGAAAGAAGCGTGACTGTGAAGGGAGAGACGTTAACAGCTCCCCTACCTTCCACAGCTCCTCCTGGGTGGGGGTGGGGGGTCGCACTGTGCACAGACTTGTGCTCAAGAATTAACTTGCAAGAGAAGAAAAAATTCACTTGCAGGAGAAAGAAAATAACATTTGTTCTCGCCTCCTCCTCCTCCTCCTCCTGCTCTCGCATGCGGGCAGCGACACTGGACACTTGAGCGAAGCTGACGTTAACCCGTTAGCAGCAAGACACGGGGAGCTGCCACGAATAGATCCAGTATCCACGACCCCGGTCGGCCGACCGGGATAGGACCTCGTGTTCCTCTGGCAGTGGACTCCTATCTTTCTCCCCCCTCCTCCTCCTCTTCCTCCACCTCCTCCTTATCTTTTACTCTCCGGGTTGGTTCTAACTCTTGCGTTTTGTGGCTGTTAATTACATGAAGTGGAATTTGGTGCTTGCTACGAAGTGAAGACGGGACTAAACGTAGTGGGTTCAGAGAAGGAGAGAAATGCCAACGGCGGTGACAAAGAGGAGATTCAGTAAGTGCACCGTTATCTCTTTTTCTCTCTCTCAATGTCCCCCATTGAACTTGAGACGCAAGCTTTTAGCGTTGCCCTTAGCTAACTTGCTAAAAAAACAAAGAAAAACATTTAATGAACAGTCTTCGTTTGTCTGTTCTGGTTTATTGTTGCTTTGTGAACCGGACTTACTTTGCTTTTGAGAGGTGTAAACGTTCACGGTTAAACATTGTCAGTCAGTCAGCTCCGTCTGGCAGTATCGGTCCTCGGCTAACGCCAGACAGCCACGCACACAGTTTGTTGCTTTATTTATGCAAACTCCGACTGTATGGCTAACGAGAAGTTTTATTTCCATACCGAATGAGAGCAAACGGGAGTCAGTCTGCTTGAGAGAGTCTCACAGAAATACTCGGTCTCCATTTTAACAAACAGAAATTAAGGTGAATGAGGGACGGGGGGGCAGCATACTATTCGTCTCAATCACTTATTTCACAAGCGATTTTTCGATGTGCAGAACCTGCGCAGAGTTGGCAATAAACTGAGCGGAGGCACTTCTCAGTGAGCACATTGACGTAGATGTAGTCTTTGCAGGGATGGAAGCTTCAGTCAAGCAGAAAATCTGTCGAGAATCACTAATGAAATCATAAATATGAGCAGTCCCGGCCTATGGGGCGTGAGACTGTCCTCACTCTGGGTTGTTTTTGTTGTTGTTGTTTTAATTG